TTTTTTTAAAAAAATAAAAACTCACTCTTAGCAACTTTTGATATCCTTAAACTGATTTTATCCTACTTTCTGTGCTGTTTAGAAGGGTTGAAAATGATTTTTAAACGTTTACTCGTGCCCAGGAAACTTCATCTACAATCCAGAAGTGCAATCAATTAAAATCGACTTGATCTGCTCCTCACTGGCTCCTCCACCTCCTTGGACCACTTGATGCCTAAGCCAAACCATGATCCCTAAATTCAGGAGGGGGGTCTTCTTCCTGGCTTACTCCGGTGCCCGTCCCACGACAGTCTTAGAAAGGGACGGGGTGGGGGGGTTGCCACGCAGCGACGAGGCAACTGAAATCGTTAAAAACCGTTTCGCTATATTACTCATTTTATGCTGGTGCACGTTCAGAGTCAACACCCCTACATTTAAATAAATTTCCAGTTTTATTTAGAATGTTTTACTCTCAGATACCCTTATGACTCTAAGCGTAGCTAAACTGTATTATGTCATATACAAAATGTACCTGCCAATATACATATGACCTGTTTTACATTACTGAGTTTGATTATGCACTGGTCATTCACTGCATAAAGATCCTCCTCCTCCTTCTATTTAATTATGTTTAAGTGTTGCTAGCTTCCTTCTCCTCCTCCTCCTCCTCTTCTTCCCTGCTCCTCCTCCTTTTCCCCTTTCCTCTTCCTCTCCTTCTTTTCCTTCTTCCTCTTCCTCCTCCTCCTTCTTCCCTGCTCCTCCTCCTCCTCTTCTTCCTCTTTCCTGCTCCTGCTCCTCTTCCTCTTCTTCCTCCTCTCTTCTCCTCTCCTTCTATTTTGTTGATGTTGAACTGTTGCCAGCTGCCCCAAGGGAGGCCAGAGCACTAGAAAGGGAAACAGCAAATTCCAGCTGCCCCCTGCTTACCTGCTTTGCAATGTGGTGAACAGCTGAAGCACAGCCTGGCCCGACTCCAGGCCTTGGTGTATAACCCTTCCTTGCATTCGATGCATTGCGTGTTGGCGCTGCTGTTGCAACTCTGAAGGACGCGAAAACCTGCAGTGGAAAAGGGGGAAACCGGGCATCAAAGAGTGCCTAGAAATAGAATCAGATTCAGCGGAATCTGCTTTGGGAGATTCGGGGTCTCCTCCCTTCCAGGTTCGGGCAGTCCTCCTCCTCATCAACGTCATCATCATCACCACCACCAATATCTTATTCTTTTTTTTTAAAATCCACTGGAAGCGGGATTCTCTTTATTTGGCAGTGCCCAGTCCCTTGTCCAAAATTTTAATTGCCTTGTTTACTTAGAAACCACCTCTGCTTAGTAAGAATAACGGCGTTTTTGACCAGTCATTGGCAAGGCATTTTGTAGTGGATGATTAATTAGTCAGTTCCCGTTCCACAGTTTTTAGGCACTCAGCATTTAACTCTCAGCAGAAAGTACCGTGGGCGTTGAACAATACAACGCTGTGAAGGAGCGAGACGTATCCACTATCGAACAGGAAGCAAACCGAGTCAGACGTTGCGAAGAGATAGCTTCGAGCTAGAGACATTTTTGTCTTAAAAGTTTGGGTTTTGCCAGGTCAGTTAAAAGGATCAGATGATGGAAAAGACAGATCAGCCTTAAAGGGGTGGGAAATTTTGTGAGGCTATTTCTACGTAGCTCTGCTGAGATCATCTACTAAGTTTAGGGGAAGTTTAGACATTAAGCAGACCAGGATGATTTTGTTTTTCAGCCTCTGAAAATTGAGTTCTTTGCTGTCACGTTCCCCTCTCTCCCTTCTCTTCATGTTTCGTTTACAAGAAGCTTCAGTGAAAGACTTGTGGAATGCCTTCCACTTGTTAAATTGCTTTTGCATCTTTCACATTTCTCTTTTTGCATGTGGGGAGAATGTCAAAGATGTCAGTCCCCACAGCATGCAAGTCTGCTGGGGCAGGCTGTTCTGAAAACCGTGGGCCATGAGACTGGAATTTGTTGGAGAATTTCCAGAAGCGCCAGACCCTGGATTGGATCGCTTCAGGGGAAAAAACGAGCGTTCCTGATTTTTTATGTTCTTCCTGCATTTGGTTTGAGCACTCCATGGTGCTCTGGTCTGCAGGCAGAAAATTCTAGGTTTACTCGCCAGCATCTCCGGGAAGAGCTGAGAGCGACTGCTGCCTGAATCTATGGCGCCCATCAGCCACCGCTGAGGACAACATTGTTCCAATTCAGGAAGGCGAGCTTGTGCCCTTTTCTCCATTCAGTAGCCACCCCCCCAAGAGCTTGATTTGATTTATTGCCAGTGTCAATGCCATTAAAATAATTGCATGCAGATCCTGCTATCTTCCCCTAAGTACAGTGGTACCTCGGGATACGAACGCCTCTACTAACGAACTTTTCGGGTTACGACC